ATGAATAAATATGTGTCCAGAAAGAAATATTGCCTCCGTTCCATTTTTTTTTGTCAGCAGCTCTGCGTCTTGCACTTCCACGCCACACCCGTCCCTCGATCGGGGCGTTCTCCTCCACTCACTTGGCGGCCCGCAGCTTGTAGGCCTCCACCAGGCTGGACAGGTCACTGATGTTGACCACGGTGGGCCGGGAGGACACCTGCTGGGGCTGCAGGCGGCGCTGGGACATCTCGCTCAGGTAGGACACCGTCCCACCCACCTGCTCGCCCGCGCTGGCCTGCGTGTAGCTCTTCACCAGGTACCTGCGGGCACAGAGGGAGACGGAGCGATGACGAGGGGGGTGGAGGAGGAGGAGGAGGGAGGGAGGGGCCATGCCAGGAGGAAGAGGCGTACCTGGCGGTCTGCAGCATCATGACGGTGTTCTCGCCCTCGTAGGTGCAGGTGGGGGTGAAGGTGACGTAGATGTCGGGCAGGCTGCTGCAGCGCGAGTAGCCGTGCCCCCCGCAGGCCATGCGGCACACCTCGATGCCGGCGCTGGCCGCCCAGGTGGTGAAGGCCTTGAGCCCCGCCGAGAGGGCGTGCAGCTGGGGAGGCAGAGAGGGCGCTCCTTAGGGGCCGCGGGGAGGCCGAGACGGGACGCGAACACGGCGCTGCGGCGGGCGTACCTCGGGCAGCTGGCTGAAGTCGCCCTGGTCGATGTCGCCCGTGATGCGGTGGTAGGTCTGGCTCATGTACTGCCCCACGAAGTGGAAGGCGTAGGCAGTGGCCAGCAGAGGGAAGAGCTTGTACTGCTGGGTCTGGTAGTCCAGAATCTGTGGCTCCGGCTCGCTGAGGGGGGGAGAGGGAGAACGGTGAGGAAGATCCCGGGGACCCGGTTCGCAGCGGACGGGCCGGGGCAGAACCGTTCGCCTACCCGGGCCGCAGCTCGGACTGCCGGCGCACGGCGCTGTAGCGGATGGCGATGGTGCAGGCCTTGGCCAGCGCGCGGGCCGACTCCCCCACGATCATGGAGCGGATGAACACCATGGTGCCGTAAGTCAGCTTGTCGCTGGGCGGCTTCACGTACGTCCCATCGGGCTCCACCTGCAGAGAGAGAGAGAGGACACGCTGGACTGGGGGGGCCTTAGTGGACTGGGGTAAACTTCTTTGGGGCACTGGACTGGGAGGAGCTATATTGGACTGGGCGGGCTATAGTGGACTGTGGTAAACCGTTCTGGGGGCGCTGGACTGGAGTGAAAGCAAGCAACTATGTCAGGTGGCAGGTAAACCTATTAAAACAGGGTCTATTTATTTTAATTTTAAATTTTTTCTCTCACCGGCACACACGGCAAGCGAGACATGAAACTGCACAGTCAGACTGGTATGTAATCCCTACAGTCCTACAGCGCACACTGGCTGACTATCTGCCGACTCCTGTCTGTGCCCAGTCCTCCCTGTCCCTGCTCACACACGAGGGCCGGCGGCGGACGGCGGCGGACGGGGAGGCTGACCTTGGCGTACTTCATCAGCATGTTCTCCCGCGGGATCCGGACGTTGTCCAGCTTCAAGTAGCCGTTGTCCACCTCGTCGAAGCCAAACTTGGGGCCGATGTCGCCCACCACCACGCCTGGCAGCACGCGGAGAGGCAGGGAGAGGGACTGCCGTGAGAGAGGGAGGACCATGCACACCTGGACACACACACGTGCACGCGCACCTGGACACTCATACACACACACCTGGACACTCATACACACACACGTGCACGCGCACCTGGTCACACACACACACACACACACACACACACACACGTGCACGCTCACCTGGACACACACACACGCACGTGCACCTGGACACACATACACACGCACGTGCACGCGCACCTGGACACACACACACACGCGTGTGGACACAAGCACAGAAGCGCACACACACACACACTTCTTCATATTTCCACACTACAATGAAGTCAGCAAATTTATCAGTCTTCTCTCCTGAATATTTTACCGTTTGGTCCTCGTGACAGAGCTCCCCTACCCAGCGATTGGCATGATTTGATATAACCCGTCCTTACCCGGCAGGGGCTCATGCGTGCTCATGTTCCTGATGGGCACGATGAAAGCATGGAGGCCGTGGCAGTGCCCCTGGGTGTACAGCTGTGCCAGGACAATGGCGTGGTTCGAGGTCTTCCCCACTGCGGAGAGGGACAGGACAGACAGCTGACTCCCGAGCACTGGGCTTTGTGGAGAGGCAGAGCGAGAGAAAGAAGGGGAGGGGGGGGGCCGAGGTTACTCACGTCCTCCAGGCCACCACTTGATGGAGCTGACCGTCGGGCTGTTGAGCACGAACTCCTGGGTGGAGGGGTCGTAGGTCGCGGTCGTCTCCAGAGCGCGAATGTGAGTGCCTGCGAAAACGAGCGACATTCCCAACAACGGCACCGACACAGGTCCTGCACAAGCGTCTCGCCCTCACCTGCAGCTCGTCGGCTAAAACTGGGAAGCAGGCCTGGGACGTTATCGCACTAGATGCGCAACAATTACAAGACCTACACATACTTCACAAAAAAAAATACAGCTGCACTTCTTATATCGAAATACATTCATGGAAAAAAATAACTATCCTTAGCAACTGACGATGCATTTAAGCCAAGCGGTTTCCAAAAGCATTACACTTCGTCGAACGTCGTGGTGCAAAGCATAATGTAGCCGCACGATTTCCGTCGCAAAATATGCACAGCCTGAGTGAACATCTCGTCTCCCCATGTACTGAACAAGTCATTCCTTTTCTCCTCTCGTACGTTTTCAGTGCCATCCCCTCTTCCAGCCTCCGCGAGAAGGAGGCTAGCAACCCCGTCGGCTCGAGCAGCCAGCAGGAGCATCCCACCCCCGTCCCCCCGCCCTCTGAAACCTGATGCTTCACAAGGAAGAGCGCGCGGTGCCAGACTCCCCTGCCGCCGCGGCGCTACGGCAGGAGGTGACGGAACGCCGTGTGCTTTGCCGTTATCACTCTGAGAACCCTAGAACAGAAACCTCAACACCAGCAGATTTCATGGCTCTAAGCAGCTGGCGGTAGGAAGCAGGTTGTACAGCCCAGCCCCCTCAGGTAGCGTTCTGCTGTTGCCGGCAGCATGCAAAACCCTCCAGACGAGGAGCAGACCTTCACTGCGGCGGGCACAGGCTCAAAGGCATGCTGCCTGCTGTGGGGGAGCAGCACGGCGTCACGCCAGGCTCTGCTGCGCTTCCGGGCTCTCCACTGCCCGGGCTGCCACCCCACAGAGGTCCGCGGCCCCCCGGGTCGGGGGTCTCGTAACCCTACCGTGGCCCATCTCGGTCTGCGCGTAAGTGCCGATGATCTCCAGGTTCCAGGCGCGCATGAAGAAGGTGTCCTGCTGCTCGGGCGTGGCCTGGTTCAGCAGGGTGGGCAGGAACATCCCCAGGTGGAGGTCC